AATGTCCTGAAACTTGGATCAAGCAATATAATTGATAAAGTCTCAAAAAATCATTTTTTGAATGGTTATTCTAATTTTTTTCTAACATGTGCATAGATTGAAAAGGACAGCTTCTGTCTTATCTATTTGTAATGGAGGGACACCGGTCTCAATTTCCAAGCTTAGGTCTCCTGAGTCAACCCGACAACAGACTTTTCATAGAGTAGATTATTACTTGCCCTTGAATAAATTTGTACACAAAATTTTATAGCAGGTGATTTTTGCCACATGAAAACCAACAAAGTACAAAAAAGTAACCGGGCGCCAGACACAAAGTGGTGTGTTTGTTGCATTTTCATGTTTTCGCCCAGTGCCCTTGATGCAAAATACAAATCAGCCTTCATAAAAATTTCTTACCATAGAAAAAGGGTTAGTTTTTTATCCGTACAAAAAATAGATATTGTACATGTATTAGCACAGTTATGTTCACTTTCAAATTGACCTGTTATAAATAATGGCACAACCAATAGTTTATTGTCTAAGCCCTTTTTAGTAAAAATAATTATACATAATATATAAATTGTTATTTTAATTAAGACTATGAGTATGTAAGGTTTTTATTTCTTATTTATTAATTAAGAATTAATTATCTGTTAATTTAAAAATCTAAATATCTGTCACGGTTTAGAACTGTTCACTATTTAGGCCAGAAAATGTGTAAGCGGCTAGATAGTTTAATCGCTTATAGCCGCGGTACATTATGCTGTGGGTCACAGGTTTGAGTTCTGGTCAAGCTGAAAGATTTCTCATCCAGTGACTGCATATAACCATGAGTTTAATTCACTATGCTCTGTAAACATCAGAAAATCAAGGACATAAACCAATAGAGTGGGGAAATATGTTGTGATTTAGAACTATTTCATTATTAAAGAGAAAATGTGTAGCCGGCCGGACAGCTCAGTTGGTCTTCTGAATATCATGGGTTCGAGTCATGGTCAGGCAGTTCAAGTCAGGGTTTAGAAGTGGTTTTTTCAACTGACACATGTTTGACTCATTTAATAGATTGTATTTTATTTGAAATGGACAAAGGCAGTATTGCATGATACTTTTAGATCTACAAAAAGCATTTGATACAGTCGATCACACTATACTGCATATGAAGAAGTTATTTTTCTTCTTCTTCATGGAACTTGAAGTTTCTGCCATATGTAATGACATTCTTACATGCTTCAAGTCTTATCTCTGATAGCAGCTGGTTGATGTGGCTGGTACTCCTTCTACTACTGCTCTGAGTACCTATGGTGTCCCCTTGATGTTCATTTTAGGTCCTCTTTTATGTCTAATATATGTCAATGACATGTCTGCAACCTAAGCAATAAGCTTTTATTATATGCACAGGCACAAGTATCAGACCTGGGAAGAAAAAATATGACCAGATTGATAAAAAAAACTTGTGTTCATCTTAAAATTGTCACAAACCAAAAAAATGTAAATAATGACCCCCTTTAAAAATATACTTTAACTTAATAGTATATTTTTAAAGGGGGTCATTATTTACATTTTTTTTTGGTTTTTGACACTTTTAAGATGAACAAAGTTTTTTTATCAATCTGGTCATACTTTTTCTTCCCAGGTCCGATACTCGTGCCTGTGATTATATGATGATGACTCAGGTATCCTTGTATTTGGAAAAATAAATAGTAAGATTAGTTAATTGACTATAAATTGTCTTTGCATCTTGGCAAGACAGAGTCTTTTCTTTTTGGTTTAAGTTTCAACTTAAACTGGGCATATCCTCCAGGTCACATGAAATGGTACTGCTATAAAGTACACATCTTTTGTTAAGTATTTAGGTGCAAACCTGGATCAAATTCTTTTGGCGTCGCCCTTTGATGCTTTGCATCAATGCTTTTCTTGTTTCCAATTGTATTAATTCTCATATCTGAGGCTCAACAAGGAGGGTATCAAAATTACCTAAAATGTCTTCACTACAGTACCATGTGTCCGGACAGATATGTACATGACATGATTTAATTCAGATAAAAGCTGGGTTAACATGATATACAATATTTCAGCAACAAATGCTTAAGTTTTTGATATTCTATTATTCACTCTGCAAATGATTATAGCTGGTATTTGAGGTCAGGCATTGTTTTCTTTACCCCCAAATTTCAACGTCAACATTCTTGAAATAGACATTAAAATATTACTTTTTAAGGAGGTTGAAATAAATTAATTTACTTAATTTTGAAATAAACATGCACTCAATGTTGATAAAAAAGTGACTGACAACCACTGAACAAAGAAAATACTAAATTAAGCATTTTCGGGGCCGTCCAGGTTTGGTGGTTGTCCGGTTTTGGTGGTCCCCAACCAGTATACAGTGAACTGATTCTGATTATGAAATTTTTCAACTTTTTATGTAACCACTGCATTACATTCTTGCATAGCAGACTGGCGTTTTCATGAGTTTTACTCATGCCAGAAATTTCATTTGGCATGGGGAGTGCCAGATGAGTCGCGTGCAATACAACAACGTCATTTAAGCGCAATCTATGAAGCAACCACATTTAAATGACGTCATTTCGGCGCATTTTAGAAGGGAACAATGTGCTGAAGATGACATCATTTTGCCGTTGTTATTAAAGTTGTAAATTCATACGCTATTGTAAGAAAATAGTTATGGATGAAAATTTAATTTAAATTTAATTTTCATGAACAAATATCATATTGTGGTAATCCATTTTAAATATGAAATAATATGGCAGAATATGTAAGAAAAAATATCTGAGATATGTTTGCAGTTCGGATCGGAATGTCAATGTGCGGTAACAAGGTTTGTAGGGTTCCCTTGGGACTGATATTCAGAGTTGAACTGCAACATATGACAGATATTATTAGTAAGGCATGTCTTGAGGATAATAATTGTTGCTCATTGTACAAGACCAATAACTAGCATTGGCATTTACTGAATAAATGCTCCTTTATGGACATATAAGAAATACTGATTGTCTTTTGGTACATGGTCATTTGCTGTCAGTATTCAACCAAGTTCCTCTGGTTACAGCTTTTGTTAGAGTCCTTCCTATATTGTAAATTAAACTTCATCGATCATTAACATGTATATTTCTTGTCTTTTGAAGTGAAAGTTAGTCAATTAGAATGGCCTATTTAAAAGCTATAATTTAAAGCTAAATTTAAATTGCATGCATTGAATTTTTTTTTGTCCATTTATTTTATTATAATTAGTTATTTATTTATTTTTAATAGTTTCAGTGGCATTTTGAAAAGATTTGAGCCACGTCATGACAAAACCAACATAATGGTTTTGCTGCCAGGATGGATCCAGACCAGCCTGCGCATCCGCTGAGTCTGACCAGGATTCATGCTGTTCGCTTACAGACCCTATAACAAGTAAAGAAACTGATAGCAAACAGAATGGATCCTGATCAGACTGCGCGGATGCGCAGGCTGGTCTGGATCCATGCTGGTCGCAAACCCATTATGATGGTTTTGTCATGACGCGGCTCATTTATTGGATATTGTCTGTGAATAAATTATGTATCTTCATTCTCATTTATCACCACTGTTAGTCTTTACTATGATATTTACAATGTAGTCCTAATTATAAAATAGTTCTAATTTTAGTATAGTCCTAATTGAAACTATAATACAGTCCTAAATATGCGGAAGATAACTTCAAAACTTGATAAAAAAATAATTCATGTATCATGTAGATATTCTTAAAAAATATTTCACGAAAAATTAATGTTGATAAAGTTCTTATTGATTTAGTTTGAACAATGATATGGTGAAAATTAATATTTTGTTCTAGAACAATCTATTATCTGCTGTTAACAGATATATTATATCAGACCATGTATCTCACGTATACAAAAAACATCCATAAATAATTCTGTCATGGTTTACTGTAACATATGATACTAAATACTATCTGTATCAACATACTAATTTATGGTATTTCAAGTATTCAATTATGCACCTATTCACTTTAAATTGATCAGTTGAAGAAAAATTATATATTTTTTTTTTAGGTTCATCAATCATTTCTTTCAAATACAAATTTTTTGTTTTTACTTTATAATAGCTTTGCTTGTAAATACCTTTGAAAATCATTCTAAGTAAAATTGTTTCATGGCCGAGTGGTTAGCACATCAGACTAGTGATCTAAGGATTGCTGACGGTGTGGGTTCAAACCCCGTCAGGGGCAAGCAGAAGAAACATTCATTGCTTAGTTAGTAGCTGAGTTACTGGTTGGTTCCAGGAACAAATTTGAGACTGTTTCAGTAAGCTTATAGCTTCCGACGAGAACTTTAATAAATTTGTATATAAACTAAAAAAAAAAATTCAATGTTGCTAATATTTTTCATCAAGTTTGTTGCTCAAAATATACATTAAATCCTCACTTAATATTTAAAATTTACCTTTAATCATTCAATCTGGACAAAAACCATTCATCTTTTCTAAAGTATATTTCACAATAAGTAGGGATTGACTAGCAAACTGTACTGATCAGATGGCGTGCATGTGCAGGATTTTTTTTTTGGCTTATTTTATAGCCAATATTCTGTCATATTCCCAATTGAAAAAAGTTTATTATTTTCCCAATCCACAGGAAAAAATATTCCCAATTGAAAAGTTTCAAAATGAAGATATTGAATACCAAATTAAAAAACTTTAAATTAAGAGCTTCTTCACTGTTACGGTGTTTAAATGTTTGCAGATGCCATCCTAGACAGTTATTCTTTGTATTCATTTTATCACTGTAAAATTTAAGTCATGCAATTTTTCCCAATTTTTAACAAAACATCGCTGAAATTCCCAATTCCATGGGTATGGTTCGTGTTCCCAAAATCCTTGAAAAAAACTTTGAATTGTGCATTGAGAGATTTGGCTGCCACCTGGAGGTTAAAGGTTAATTTTTATTCAGCACAAGGCCTAAGATAAAAGGTCATATAAGTATTTTAATGTATGTATCATCTTTCCTTCATTTTTTCCAGCATGGCAAGTGCTATCCTGAACAAAGCATTGATGGATCAGCGGCACAGGAAAGCCATGGAAGAGCTGGAGAAAGAGATGCAAGTGGAATTGGAGAAGAATCGTGAACAGCTCAATGCCGAACTGCAGAAATCTCTCGAGAAAGAACTTGAGGCTCATAAGGGAGAATTCCTGAACCAGCTTGCAGCAGCCAGTAAAATTGCTCCATCCGATTTGAACGAGATAAGCGGTTAGTATACGTGTACTTTGCGGAGATGGAAAATTCCCCTTGTCTGCTCATAATTACGAGTAGAATTTTAAGAGAACTTGATGCAGGATGACTAGAATAATGTTGCCGGTTCATTAGATTTAGAAGCTACTTGTCCTGCAGGACGAATGACTCTGAAAATATTTTTCAATTCCTGCTTTATATGAGTATTAGTTTGCAAATTTGCTCACAAAAGAAATAGATGCCATTCAGATTAATAAAGCTTTATAATAAGTGTAGAAAACTTAATCAAAGTTAACCAATGCACAAACAATAGGTAAAAACAGTTTCAAATGTAGGTAGATTTACTTAACAGTGGTTGAGATATAGTGCTTAGTTCAAGGTACCTGAAATCTATTTGTATTCACATGCATTGACCAGAAATATGTCCTATGTGCATACTTGGTATCTTCAGTATTGCTTTCTTGCAAGCTTGGTATTTGAAATATTATGCATGTTTATTGTACTGAAATAGATTCAACTTGAAATTTTTGCTTCATATAACTATAAGGCATTTGTCTAAAAAAATCTTTTTCAGTGCACTGTTTTTCAAAATACTCTTGTGTATATAATTGTTAGGTTCTACTTTATGATAATTGTGAATTTATGATTTTAAACTTAATAATTTTGTCAATATGCACTGTACTGTATGACACAGGAGGTGGCAGACGGTCATCAGGCAGTCGTTTTACAAGAGATTCCACTCCCGAGTACGGTAAAACCAAGTCAACATTGGGTGCAATGGAGGAAGATTCTGATGGTACTCTATGTGCTCTATATTGTCTAAATATACAGTGGAACCTGTTTAAACTGATAGTCTTTAAGACATGAGAAAATTTTCTAGGTTTACATTTACCCCTGTATTAAAGATCATAATTTATCATAGTTGATGATACTGTATTCTTTTAAAGGTTTAACCTCTCTGACTGACCATGTTTGTTCAAAATCACAATTTTTTTCTTTCATTGTCCCCTGCCTTTTCGAAGATAAAAGGGGGATATAGAAATGTGCTCTGTCCATCAGTCCGTACAAAAGTCCATCTGTCGCACTTTTGTAACCTGTCCATAACTAAGCAATTAATCAAATGAATTTGAAATAACTTGGCATAAATGTTTGTTATAATAAGATTATGCGCAACACCCAGACCATACCTTCAAGGTCAAGGTCACACTTGGCGATTAAAAGTCAACATTTTTGGAGGGTATTTGTCGTGTCCGGTCCATAACTTTCTCATCCATCACTGGATTTTGAAAATACACTGATGTACTTGGCAGAAATGTTCACAATAATGGGACAATATGTCATGCACATCACCTAAACACCCACCTCTAAGGTCAAGGTCACACTCGGAAGTCAAATCTGAACATGGTCTGTTATAGGGTATATTTTATGTTTTGTCCATAGCCTTTTCATAGATAAAGGGGTTTTAAAATTACTGGGCACAAATGTTCACAATAATAAGCAATGTATCATGCCCAACACTTGGACCCCTACCTCCAAGGTCAAGGTCACACTTGGAGGTCAAAACTTAATATGTTATAGGATATATATTTTGTGTCAAGTCCCTAAGTTTTTCATAGAAATTATTTGGCACAAATATTCACAATATTTGCTCAAAACTGGACCCCTACCCTAAAGGTCTAGGTCGCACTTGAAGATCAAATCCTAACATGGTCTGTTACAGGGTATGATGCCATGTCAGGCCGGAGCAAGTAAAATGTCATTGGTGAATTGCCCGCATACCTTAATCAATGAAAAGGCGAGGAACATTTGTTACTCAGTTACAAATTCTTGTTTAAAGCAGCATGTTAGTTAAGCAGTAAAAATATGGTGATAAAAACTGCAAAATTAGTCATTAATGGCACATAACATGCAAAATGTTACTTGTGTCTTGAAATGTTTTATTTAATCAGTTTAAGACAGGTTCACTGTATACACTTTGCTGACTATATAGACTGTATCAATCTAGCTATAAATTGAGTTACTTAGCTTATTTAATAGAATTTGTGTATGTCTTTTTTGGTGCAGGAAGCTGCATTTTATTCCCAGAAATGAATTGAACATGTTTAGTTAGCTCAATTAATTACGGGCCCTGACCCATCATTAGTTGCAGTGGTCATTTTTGAAGTCTCAAAATTTCTGAGAATTCTGTGTATGCTCCCATTAGCCAATGGCATGTTAATTAACACTTTTGCTTAAATATTAATTTTTGCTTTAATAATGATTTTATCTGTTGCTAGGCTAGAACTGAAAAGTAGGTAAATTTTTTATTTATGGTTTTTGTCACCTTTTGTTGTCTATGCATTGGACACTTTCTCTTAACATGAATTTTCTAAATGGAGAATCAGTCTATAAATACTGGCACTGGCATTTGATTGGTTAATTTGAAATTCAAATTTTGAATTAACCAATTAGGAAATTTTATCAACAGACTGGTTCTAAAACTCCTCTTAAATTATTTTTTCTTATTTGACATTGTTTTTACACTGTTTTTAGCTCACCTGTCACAAAGAGACATTGTGAGCTTTTGTGATCGTTTTTCGTCTGGCGTCCTTAAACTTTTACTTTAAACAACATCTCCTTAAAATAGCTTCTTTTAGAAAACCGAAAGAGCTAGAGCTTAAATATTTGGCATGAAACATCATCTAGACAGTGTCTACCAAGTTTGTTCAAATAAATTTTACTTATTTGTATATAATAAAAACAAAATCTTCTTTAAAAAAAAAACCCAAATAGCTAGAGCTTAGATATTAAGCATGAAACATCTTGTAGTGGGGGTCTACCAAGTTTGTTCAAATAAAAGCCCTGGGGTCAAAATTAGCTCCACCTGGAGGGGAGAGGGTTCATTGTGTTTCCCTATATGTGTATAGTAAAACAAATATTCTTACAGCTAGAGCTTAGATATTTATCATGAAACATCTTCAAATGGGTGTCTACCAAGTTTGTTCAAATAAAAGCCCCTGGGGGTTAAAATTGACCCCGCTCCGGGGGCCTATATACAGGTGAGCGATTTCAGGGCCATCATGGCACTCTTGTTTAAATTTTGATAACTAAAAACAACTAATTGAATGCTAATTTTCTGTCTCTGTATCTGTTATGTAATTGTTATGGTAATTTTGTGTCTGTTTTCAAGTTAGATGTTGAAAAGTTTCTGGTTAAGATATTGTAATTTTTGGTGGCTGTGCATGCATCATTTATATTGTTTATTGTCACTTAACTAACATCTTACTGAGGTTGGCATGGTATATTTAAATAAAAAATATTCAGTTATTTCTTTTAGAAATGTAACACAATTTTTATTGTCAAACACTTACTCCTTGGCATAGTATTGCAGAAAGTATTAATCATTTTTTTCGGTCTTTATATTGTATTAAGTTTATTTTGATACATATTTCTTTGATTCTATAATGGAACCAATTTTTTCACAGAAAATAACTTAAAAAACCTTTATTGCTTATTTCTCATGAACTTAAAATCTTTTACATTGAAATGGTTTTGTCTTAAATTGATATTTGAAATTCACTAATTTTAATTTGATTTAATTTTTGTTTCGTTTTTCGTACAGAAGACACAAGACAATCATATAACCGACCTCATTCAGCCATGACATCATCATCGAAGCCTCATCATGTTGGCGGAGGAAAGAAGAAAAAGAAACATATCTTCGGCCCTCAACCTCCACGCCCCGCCTTTAGTACCTCCACTGGTGAACAAATTCACAGTGCATGGGACTTGGACGATGAATTATTGTAGCATAGATTTTTAATTTAAAAAATTTGTTTTTATTAATATTTAGAATAAAACTTTTCGGAAAATGGAGTAAATGTAAGCATCTTGTGACAAAGATTAACAGACAACAGTTTTATATAGCAACAATAAGCATTTGTATGACCAGGATCAACAAGCAACAGCTTTAAAGTATAAAAATAAGCATCTTTGTGACCAAGATCAACAAAGAACTGTTTCAAACGGCAAAAGCAAGCATCAATTTGAGCGGGGGCAACAAACAGCAGACGTTTACAGCAAATACAAGCATTAATGTGACCTTGATCAATAAATAGCAGCTTTCAAGAGCATAATGACCCAGATCAACAAATTCAAAAGTGCAATAAATTTAAAAGAAAGAAGTGATCATTAATTTGATGACCAAGATCAACAAAACAACGATTTTAAGGAGCAAAAATATTTTTAAGCATCAATTAGTGAACTAGGATTGACAATTTTCTTCCCAATTAGTGAACAGGTGTTTATTGTGACACTATGATACAATAATGTTTTGAATACTTAAAAAGTGCTCAGTATAATTGTTTCAATCATTTTGCCTTTTGAAGAGTTAGATACATGTTTTTATCACATACCTGTGCCGGTTTTTGCAGCTTGTAAAAAGAGTATTGCATGACAGTGCATATATTTTGACGTGACGTCATTTGCGTAATATAAACATAGCATAAGGATGCGCTGAATGCTAGCGTTTCACTATAGGCGTCAGTGAAAAATGATTCTTTTTTACCATAAACAGTTCTCATTTTGGATATTTGATAAATGGAATATTATATTCGTATAGCTCCATTACTAAATTTATTGAACTGGTTGAATAAAATATTATTTTTCTCTCCAGAGGCTTGCATAATATTATATGTTATTTTGGTTTTAGAGTGATATATGTGGATATATTACCTGTCAAGATTTATTACGGCTCGGGTGATATTTTATCTTGGCAGGTAATATATCCACATATATCACTCCAAAACCAAAATAATAATTTTATTACCCTTCCCGTGCCAAGTTAAGACGATTTTAAAATTAATCATTGCTATTTCAAATGAAACGTCGAAATAAGATTCCCTTTAGGATACCCCTTCACCATAACATGACGTCACATAAATACATGACGTATTTTCTTTCGAACATAACGGATGTAAACAAGAGAAAAGGAGTAGTCTGTTGAACGCACTTTTTTGGAATTAATATCAAGCTTTCACAAGGTCATATTTGTTTCCTATACTGACGAGAATATGTATCATTACTCTATTTTGGTAAATATTATCATTTGACAGTTTTAAAAGTGCTTGTAAATCGGTATTTATATCGCGTAAAAAATCAAACCGTACGCGCATCGCACGGCGCTGTTGTTTACAACGTGGGGTACCAATCGGGGAATTTAATGTGTATATTACCCGTCTGGCGGGTAATATCAATTTCTTTCGGATGATCAATATCCAATCAAAAAAGCGGTAAAAATCTGGAAGGGTAATAAAAATTTTTATTAAACTTGTTCAATAAATTCAGTATTGAACCTGCACTTATTCAATATCATAGTTATATGAATTTGTTATTGAGTGGTGTCATAAATGCTTTTAAAGGTAAAGGATGTGGAATAGTATAGGAATTATGAAAGAAGAAATTGTAGTTGAAACTCTTTTACTTGCAGGAATATCTTGTCTACATCCATTTGTACATGTTTTTTAAGGGTAACTGTTTTTTAAGGTGACTGCAACACTTATCATTAAAATTTGGCACACATCATAGTTCACACTTATTCTTTCCCTTATAAAAAAATGAAACTTAGTGCCAATGTTTTACAAGGAACTATAAAAACTTGTCAATTTTTTCTCTGCGCTGTGAAAACTCGGTGAATGTTAAGTAAACAGAAAGAGATAGAAGTTGAACTTTTTTTTATATGAGTAAACAAAAACCTTAAATAGAAGGAGGAAAATCTTCTTGCTTAAGAATCTGTATATTGAATGTTTGATTAATAATTTATGTACATGTGGTGCTGTCTTGTTTATGTGTTGTTTTTTAAGATTTAAGATTTTTACGCACCGTTCTTCACACACATGTTTTATCTTAGTATTTTATCAAGTATTTAATATGTTTCACATAATTAGGCTACTTTTTATTACAAATGTTGCCATGTTAAAACTGGTTGTTTTATTTGTATGTTTTTTTCCAATGTTAAAATAGTTCAAAATAGTTTACCTATGCCTGAGATAAATTCAGACTTTACATACTTTTTATAAGCAAAACCTTTTGTATATTAATTATATCTAAGTTACTGAATCAGAAAAAAATAATTATTTTGTTAATATTGCAAAAAATCAAGTTTTATAGGAGATAGTTTATAGGGTCACACACAAACATACTAAATAATTTTCACAAGACAAGTAATTACTTCGTTTTTTTTTGTTTTGTTTTTTATTTCCTTTTACAACCTATACAATGTATTGTATTTCACCAATTTTATTTCCTCATACCTAGAAAAAAATTGATCCATTTTTCTACAATGAAGTGTCAGCCTTAATTTCATTTACATTGCAACCTTTGCAGAGAGGCCCTCTGTTGAACATTAACCTCTTTATAGTGACCAAAATCTTTGTCTATTCAAAGGTTGTTGATCTATAATGGTTTCATTTAGTTTTCATGCTTCAAAGGTCGTGCCTTGCTATGCTTATATAATTTCCTTTTTTGTTCACATTTTTTAATTATACATGTACATAATTACATTCTTCTTAGGGATATTAATTTATGTCAATTAAATGTTATTTTTGTTCATCTAGTTTTCATGCTACAAAGGACTGGTATGCCTTTCTATGCTTATATAATTCCCTTCTTATTTTCATTATTAAAATTATATATGTATATAATAACATTCTTCTTAAGGATATTAATTTTATATAATTTTTGTTGATTCAATGTTTTTGAAATTTTGTCCGCTGCCATATAAATGGCCCAAATCTATCCTAAAAATTGCATGCATATAAATTGTCCAAGTCCAGTCCCAGAAATTTGCATGCAAGATATTATTTTTTTTTCTCATTTTTGCTTAGTTAAGATAATCATCGATTATTTTATAGTAATGCTGCTGTGAAAGGCCTCTATTTATTTAGACCTTTTATTATTGTTTTTTTTTTTTTTTTTTTTTTAAATTTTTTTTTTTAAATTTTTTTTTTTTTTTTTTTTTTTTTGAGGAAATTAATAAATGTGAAAAAAAAGATAAGGAGGAACACAATTTGTTATTTTCACCATGTTATGCAATATTTTGACCGTTACTGGTATAATGACTGCACCCTCTTGAAAACTGTTGAATTTTACACTTTATAGAACTGTTTTAGGCATATGATATTTATAGCCATTATGCTTATTATCTTTACTTTTTTACATTTTTTAGAGATTTGTTTTTTATAATGATATTTATCAATGTAAAGTTTACGATGGTCCGTTAATTTCCCTAATACTTTACTTATTTTATTTTATACCCTATAATACCCATTATACAATTTTTATATTATCCAGAAGTTTTAAAAAACTTAACAGACCAATCAAATTAAGGCAGCAAACTTTAAAGCATCTCTGTGATACAAAATTTTTTCATGTTCTATTTAAGACCTTAAATATTTGCACATGTATTTTTAATTGTATTGTGAACCACAACATGTTTCCATGTTAAATTTGTTTTGCCGGCTCGCCACGGCGAGCCGGTATTACGTTAGGATTTTAACTGAGAAACAACCTAAAAACTCCGAATCCATCCAAAAATTTAATCGAAGCTTGGCTTCCAGCTTTCTACAAAATTTATCTATCAGGGCTAGGATCCAAAATTATTTAGCCAATCAAATTTAATCTTACATAGCGTCAAAAAACCTTCAATTTTCACGCCATTTTTAAAAAAGCAGCAAGTATTATTTTTGAGCGCAAAGATAATAATGATGATTAAAATGTTTGTTTTCATGAATTCTTTTCAATAAATCATATTTACACTGACTTTTGATTTCGTGATTTCACCTGTTCCTCTGTAGTAAGTTTTCGTTTGGTTAATAAAACATAAGGGTACATCTGGTTCTGTGCATTTTTTTTTTTTTCTTTTTCCTTTTTTCCGGTCATTTAATCCTTTCCGGTATTAAGTGTATATATTTACTGGCCGGGATCCGGGACGCCCCGGATTGGCCGGGATCCGGGATCGAATATAGAGGAAAAACTAATAAACTATATTTGTGTTGATTATTGTCGTAATGAAAGGCCATTAAACGTTAAGTTTTTTTTAGCTCGACTTTTCTATGAAAAGGGGAGCTATCCTACTCGCCCGGCGTCGGCGTTAGCGTTGGCGTCACACCTTGGTTAAGTTTTTCGTACCACCCCACTTTATTTCAGAAGTATTACAAGTAGGCTTTGAAACTTACCATACTTGTTCACCATCATAACCTCCATCTACAGACAGGAGTACATAACTCTGTCAAGGTTTTTGACAGAATTATGGCCCTTTTTTGACTTAGAAAGTGTATTGAGCTTGGTTAAGTTTTTTGTACCACCTCACTTTATTTCAAAACCATTGGAGGTATTGCTTTTGAAACTGACCATACTTGTTTACCATCACGACCTTCATCAACAGACAAGAGGACATAACTCTGTCAAGGTTTTTGACAGAATTATGCCCCTTTTTGACTTAGAAAATACATTGAATATGGGTAAAATCCACTTATTGCCTTAACCCTTTGAGATATTGCTTTGAAACTTTTAATGCTATTTCACATCATTACCCCCATCTGTACGCAAGAGAAAGGTAACTCTGTCAGGATTTGTTTTAAAAATTAAGGCCTTTTATCGACTTAGAATCTTGGTTAACTTTTTTGTACCAGTCAACTTTTTGACTGAACTGGTTGAGATATTAAATTGAAAGTTGGAATACTTGTTTACCATCATGGTCCCAAAACAATGGGCAGGAGAAGGTAATTCTGTTAAGGATTTTATTTGAATTATGGCCCTTTTTTTGACTTAGAAACTCAGTTAAAATTTTCATTCTTGTCCACTTGTTGACTTAACCATTTGAGATATTACTTTGGAAGTTGGAGTTCTTATGTGCCATCATGAGAACCCTATCTGTAAGCAAGAGAAGATAACTCTGTGAAAATGTTTTCTTGATTTGTACTTAGAAATTCCTAGTTAAAAGTCTTGTGTGCCCTTAACTGTCAAAGTTTTTGTTTTATAGGCAAGCACTAAAAAAGTCGAGCGCGCTGTCCTTCTGACAGCTCTTGTTTATTGTATGTAATGAACGTTAAATTAATTAAATTAGGATATAAATATATTTAGAGCTATTTATTAACAAACTTAAAATGCGGAAATCACAATACTTTAATTATATGCCTAATTAATTGGGAAAAATCAAAGACTACATTCTTGAATTGGTCAAATCCCGGGACCCCTTTATGTTTTAATGCGATCCCAGCTTTTCTGAAAACTTTATTCTTGAACTGGCCAATTCCTGGGATCTTTTTTATATTTTAATACGATCCCGGCTTTTCTGAAAACTAAATTCTTGAACTGGTCAAATTCCCGGGATCCCTATATGTTTTAATAGGATCCCGGCTTATCTGAAAAACATCTTAGACTGGTCAATTTCCGGGGTCCCTATATTTTTAATAGGATCCCGGCTTTTCTGGCTGAATTGATAGACAACTTGTGTTTACTTTAGGACTTGTGTCTGTCACTCATTCCAATACTAAATAACATATTACGACTTAACTTCGTATAAAGAGACAGCTTTATGAATTCTACCTATCTAACATTTAATTTGGTCAAGGTCAACAGGCCATACAGTAAATGTGCATAGACATAGAGAGGACTTCATTCTATCTGTTTACATG